TCTCCTGAAAAACATTTTTAAAAGAAGAATGAGCCAACGCTCAGCAGGTAATTCATATCTCAGTTATTTTTATAAGATGCATATATAAAACATTTTATAATTAAAAACTAATTCATAACATTTTACAAATCAAAATTCTTAAAACTTTCAATCTTACTTTTCTTTAATCATTTCATTAACATTTCATTCCTTTCAGAATTCTTTTATGTCATCTTATTCAATGCAATGCAGATACAAAAATGCTTATGTCATATGTATACACCCGTTCCGGAAGTACCCTTTTTTTTTCGTACTGATCAGGTGCGCAGTCAAATTTTGGCCATTTCCTTTACTATTTGACTTTTACAAGCCCCATTACCATTTGGCTTTTGTATGCCCCTTTACCATTACCATTTTGGCACTTCCGTATCAACATGTAACATGGAAATTTTATTTCATTTAAATCTTTTCATTTCCGTTCAATTTCCTTTCATAAGCCTCATATATTTTCATGCCCAAATGCTTTTCATATGGTTCATATGCTTTCCAACAGTTAATGCAAAAATATAAAGACATAAACTTGCAGAATCAATAAATTTAAAACATTAATTAACAATAAAAATATAAAGACATGAAATTTCATTAAGCATAAAATTTTTAAAACATTTATAAACTTAACTGGGATCTGAACACCTACCTCAAACCAAGTACGACACGTCGCTTCGACCAAATTCTTTCACCTTAAACTTTAAGGGTCATAACCTAAATAGTTTACAGAAGAGATATGTCACAAAATAAAAAAAAATAAAAATTCCTAAGTCTAATTGTTAAACCCGGCATTTTCCCTTAACCATTCCTTATGACACTTAATAGATATTTAATTAAATAAACATTAATTTTTTGGATTTAATAAATACTAAAATTTTGGAAAATCATAAAACTCCAATTTCATCAAATTATCGCTCCAAACCTAATCCTAAACATATAATTATAATTATATTATAATTTTCGGATTAAATAATTTAGGAAATTAAGAAAATAAAAATTTCGCTAAAAACTTAAAATTTTTCATTAAAAACATTTCCTAAACCCTTAGGAATATTTTTTGTAAAAGCATCTTGAAGGAATTAAATTTTCGTCAAAAACCCTAATTTATAAATTTCCAAAAATTCCTCAAATTTCTTCATTTTTACCGTTAAAATATTCTCTTAATCATTCTTTATTAATTCCAAAAAGAGATTTTGAAAGAAATTTAGGTTTTGGAAAAACCCTAGAATTTCTACCTCCAAAAATCTAGAGATCGAGAAAGTTTCGTTTGGAAATAAACATACCAGAGTGTTTCTCTCGTCGTCCTCTTCGATTTGACCTAAAACTCTCGTCGGAAAATCGTCGTCGGAGAGCCCGTCGCCCCTTGCACGTCGCCTCACCCGCCGTCCGTCTCTCTTGTTTCGTGCGGTTCACGCGTGAAATGAGAGGAAGGAGGCTTCGGTTTGTTCATTTAGGAGGAAAGGGGAAGCCAAATGACCTTAATACCCTTAAGTAAATTCGTCATATAAAACGGTTAGGGGTAAAATCGTCATTATGAAACTTCGATTAATTTTTATTCTTAAAATAGAAAAAAATTAGGTATAAGTGCTATACATCAAAACGATCAGAATTTTGCAAGGAATTTTCTAAAATTATTTTCGTTAAATTCTGTTAATGTTGAAAATCTCACTTAATTTCGTCGCGGTGCTTTGAAAAGCGTGCGACAACCTAATAATGTCGTTTTTGGGTTTTACATACTCAATGATTAAACTTCTTCTAAATAGACCAAATATTATATTTCCAACAACAACAACAACATCAAGCTTTTATCCCACTATGTGGGGTCGGCTACATGAATCCTTTCTCTCTATTGTGTTCTATTTAAAGTCAAATTCTCGTTTAAATCTAATAAAGAAAGGTCATTCATAATATTTTCTAACTGTCTTTTTAGGTCTACCTCTACCTTTCTTAACATAAGTCAAATCTAATACCTCAACTCTCCTAACCGGGTCACAGAAGGCCATCGTTTTATGTGACCAAACCATCTAAGGAGACTCTCTCTAATCTTATCTTCTACTGGAGCTACTCCAACCTTTTCACGGACATGCTCACGTATCCTATCTCTAAGGGTAAAGCCACTCATCCATGGTCATTAAAATTTTAGCATGACTAAACATGAACTAAGAAATGAAATATAATGAAAATTCAATTAAAATGTTATAATATGCACAATATTCTTTTCTATGATACATCAATTGATGCCATTTTACTGAGAATGTTGTAGTAGAAATTTCCTTCTGATGATTTGGATAGGTGTATCACTCTGAAGAGGAAGCATCACCAATGCAGGGGGATAGAGGGAGAAAGAGAATTATAAAATGCATTTAATAATCCATCTCCAAACAGAAAGTTTGGAATAGAAGGATTGTTAAAACTTTGAAACTAAATGGTTAGAGAAGGTTGCTGCTGCTGAGGAATGCATTTTATTTCATGAATCCATTCCATTAACCATTTACCGTGGACGAACCCTTCTTTTTCTTCTCACGCTCTTGGTATACTGTTTGTATTTCTAAGTTTACACCTTGCATGATTGTCATCCGTCTTTTTGCTGCTGCCATCACCATTATGAATTACTTAATGTACATAATCATTAGAGTTGAAGATAAAATTGAAAGAAAAACTAATTTGATAGGAAAAATGATTCATTAACCATTCTTTTTTGATAGATTTTCATTTATGGTCTTAATCGATAAGTTTTATTTATAATTACTGTTATAGATTTTTATAAGAATATTGCAAGTGGCCTCCAAATAGAATATAATTCCTTTTTTTTTTTAGGGGTTCAAATTTTGAGGATTGTTTTCTTCCTATTTTTTTCCTGTTATCTATTTCCATTTATATATTTTAATATTTTTTTGATATTACCTGTCCTTCACTGCAAACAGTTCAAATGCCATCTATTTTTTACATGATCATTCGCACGCAAGCCTCAAGATGACCAACTGGCTTGGATTGTAGTTGGAAGCTCATAGCTCCAAATTCTTGTATGTTTAACATCCGAAGAGGTTGATTTGTATAGGATAGCCTTCGAAAGGATATCTATTTCACCATGGATTTTCATTTCAACGTAGTAGGTTGTTATGTTTGCTTAATGAATCTTGAAACACTTATGAAACATTGTTGTCCCTTATCTGTGATTTTAACCATGAATGATTGATCAATAGGAAATATGATAAAGGTAAATAACAGACTTGTTTTGGCTTTTGGGTCAATTTTATTTTAATCAATTTATCATGATAAAGCAATCACATGAATCATAAGTCTTAATTTACCCGCATTAGGTGATTTTGGAATTTATAATGCCATACTATAAAATATGGACCTCAATTTTTTGTTTGATTTCTTCCGTTATTCTTATGTTTATTTTGTTAGTAAAGTGTAAGAAGAATTGCTTGATGGTTAAAAGGCCTCAACTATTTATGTTTAACTGTTTTCCCCTTGACTTTGATCATAAACTCATTAAACCTAATATAAAATAACACAGGTTTTTGAATAATATTTGAGAATTTATGTGATTAAATTTAACACATTTTTAATCTGAGACTAAAATGGCCCTATTTAAATAATATAAGGATCATTTTAATATTTTTCTCAAAATTTTAATGTATTGACATATTTTTAATAAGTTATGACTTCAGACTTCCTCCATATATGGAGATCATGACTAAGAAGCTTGAAATGTAGTTTCATCAATCCCTAGTTGTTAATTCCTCTTTCTTTCATCTTCTATGATACACTAATATATAAATGAGGACATGGATATGATATGACACAGACACACACATAGTACAAAACTAAAAGCATGTTATAGTAATTGTACAAACAAAACTAAAAATATCAAATGCATACAATTCAATTCATATAATGATAAAATTTATTCTTTTACAAAAGAAACAAAAAAAAACTAAGCACCATTTAAAATACAACAATTTAAGCATATTAACATTTAAATACAAATTTTTGTTCTCTTTCAAAATTAAAAGCATTTTCACTCTTTTGACTCTTCCGTAGTACTGATATTCTCATCGTCGCTATTTCTCTGAATCCATAACATGCATGCTCAATATGCATCTCGAATTTTTTATTTTCTTGATAAAAAAAACTATCGGATGCTAGGCATGTTATGGGGCACGTGTTAGACATGAGTGGGCCACACATTAGATATGTTTGGGGTTGTGCCTTGCATATGTTAGAAACTAAATACTTCAATATTTTAAAGTTGGTGCATTAGAGCTCATCTCATTTTACTCTACTCGATCTCCTTCTATCTCCCAATTGTTCCTTTTTTTCGGCATTCATTCTTCCCTTCTCTTTTTTCTATTTACACTTGCTGCTCATTATTAGTTTGGCATTATAGACAGCACTGATCTCATCCTTGTAGGTCCCCTTCTTCATTGGTTTTTAATGAAGCTCGATCATATCCCCTCATGTGACCACCTGCCCCATGCTCCCCTTATATCAACTGTAGCCTGGCTTGTCTCTCAACTTCTCTTTAATTGCACCCTTTCTCCTACCAAATGGATCTCATCATTAATTTTACTTTGGGGATCAAAGACTTCATCGGTAATGAATATGTTGTAAACAATAGTTTGATTTATGCTTCTATGAGGTATATACCCTCATGAAAATCTAGTTTAAATTTACATGGTGGCTAAAGTCTTAGCCACCACCCCTTTCTCCGATCTCTTCTCCCTCCTCTTCTTCTCGATCCATTTCTTCTTGCTCTCCTCTCGTTCTTCACTTCTTTTCTACCTATTTTTGTTAATTGCTCGATATCATCCATGTTGGTCTGACTTTATGTTCAAAATTGTAGTAGATTGGTCATTGAATTTAGAAGATTTCATGATTTACCATTGAAATATTGCATTCTAGTTATTTTAGTCCTTTTTAGTCTTATTTATGATTTTATGTTAAGGCGTCTTCTCCAATCACAGTTCATGGAGAGCCATTGTTGGGGGTGATTAGAGTATGCTATAACATTGCTCTTAACAGGTATTTGATCGCCTGACTCAGAGGTCATTTTATTATAGATTTTATGTGGAGAATTTATGTTATTTTTTTATCGTCTACTTGTTGCAGCAAGAGCCCCATTAATCAGGCTACGTCAAAAGCAATGTTAACCCAAATGATCAGTATTGTTTTCAGACGAATGGAATCCGATCAGGCAATAATATATATATATATATATATATATGATATTTTTCATGACTATTTCAGTCCTATTAGTATTAACACATCATTGTTTGGTATTCAGGTGCTAGATAATCAATCACTTGGTGTTACTTCCAGTAGCTCTCTAAATTCTGATAATGGAGAAATATCGTTAGAACATCAAGATGAGACAAAGGTCACACAATGGGAATCTCAGGGCATGAACGAAGAGAAAGGGATATCTCCTGCAACAGTTGAAGTTCTTCAGAATCTTGCTGGTGGTGCCGATATCAAGGTTCAGTTTCACTAGTATATTTTGGTTTAAGGCTTTTTTACCTAAAGCTAATCATACCGTATATAGTCCTACTTTAACTTACGCTTTAGTTGACTTGCTTTTGGAAGTTTTCAGGGCTTAGAGGCTGTTCTTGACAAAGCTGTCCACACTGAAGATGGAAAAAAGATTTCACGGTATGTGTGGTGCCATTCTAAAATTTATAATGTTCATCCTAGTTTGATCCAAGCTACGCTTGCAATCTGTAATGGGTTTTCTTTTACTATTTTCAGTGGGATTGATCTTGAGAGCATGAGTATTACGCATCATGATGCCTTGTTACTATTTCGTACCCTTTGCAAGGTTTTATCTTCTGCCTAATTTTTAATGTTATAGAATTACCTTTAAAGTGATTTCTCACTATTTGGAGCTGACTAAACATGTAAATCTGCAGATGAGCATGAAGGAAGAGAGTGATGAAGTTACTACAAAGACAAGACTTCTATCCCTTGAGCTTTTGCAGGTTCCTTCACTTGTTTATTATTATTATTATTATTTTTATTTTTAATTTCGTTCATGCATGTATCATGTTATCAATAACCTTTTTTTTTTTTGAAGTTTGCTTGCTAAAATATCACAACCTTTTATTTTCAGGGTTTGCTTGAAGGAGTCAGCCAATCTTTCACGACCAATTTCCACTTTATTGATTCTGTTAAGGCTTACCTTTGTTATGCTTTATTACGAGCTTCTGTTTCTTCGTACCCAGTTGTATTTCAGGTGATCTTTTTTTTTTCCTAACTTTTGTTCTGCGTGAATTTGAAGTGCCATTTTCTGCTACTAAGTTTGTTATGTTTTGACACTATTGAAAATTTTCCAAATTTATTTTCGTCGTTACATGTTTTTAAATCATTTAGCTGTTTTGCAGTATGCCACTGGTATTTTCACGGTGCTTTTACTACGATTTAGGGAAAGTCTCAAGGTATGTGTCTTAGCTCATGATGAATTATGTGCCCTAGCTTCAAAATAACTGCAAACCCCTTTTTCTCCTTGCAGGGTGAAATTGGCATTTTTTTCCCCTTAATCATATTGAGATCCTTGGATAGTGCTGATAGTTTGCTCAGTCAAAGAACAAGCGTTCTTAGGTATAACATTTCCTTTCATATTTACTTACTGAAACTATTCAGTGTAGCCATCCATAATAGAGCAATCAACGTCGGGCTTCCCTATGAGATGCCAGGTTTTGATCTTGTTTTGGTCAGTCTTTGCCTCTTCGGACACTCAAGCCTAGTAACCAATAAATAATAATAAATTTATGAAGTATGTCATGTTTATCTGCCAATAGTTCTGCTTTCTATGGGTTCCAAAAATCCCCAGCTCAGCTGAGAGAGTTTTGTATTGCTAGGTGAAATTTTGATAATGCAGACTAGGTTGGCAGACTAGGTTGTAGATAAGACATTATCAGAGATTTTTCCTTCATTTTATGATGAATTTATATATGTTTCCATGTTTTCCATAGGTGCAAGCCCCTACGATTGATTACTTCTCCCGGTGTTGAGAGAAAACTTTTAATTAAGGCTAGTCATTAGAAGCTATATGCTTAGTGTATAGTATCATTAATTTAATTTTGGATCTAGAATGTACCACCATGAGTTTAAAGCAGATAGTGGGGGTCAATAATGACGAACTCGATCAATATCTCATTGTTTTTTTGTCTTGCGTTGTCATGACCCTTGGTTTATTTAGTTCGGGGAGGTAATTGACTCAACCTAACTGAAGGATTCTTGTCAGCATCCATAGGTTGCTTCGTCTAAGAAAATCTTATAGATTTGGGTTGAATGTTTGTCTAAGATGACAAATTTAAATCGACCTTAGCTAATAAGAGCTAAATGTCCTATTAAGTGCATCCTATGATTTATTGCTCAAGGGTTTATTAGCCAACGGGGAACTTGTGAGCTCTAGCAATTACTATAATTAAATGTAGTTTTGAGGTGAAATCATAATTATTTACCTTCGATATTATTTGACATCAAATCCATTGGTTAGATGACTCATACCAAATTGTTACTGACAAACGATTCATAGCAATATGTTCAAAAAGATATTAATTCTTTATGAGATAAGATAATTCTCAAAATTATTACCCTCAACAATTGGGGTTGGGGTTGGGGGTTGAGGTTAATGAATTTGGCTTTATGTCATAGAGGATAGGTTTCACTTGAATATTTTTAAACTTTAACAAATATTGAATTTTTAAATTTCATTAACATTTACACCCAAATGATTAATTTCAAAATTTGGGGGCATTCTGAAAGTAAGGTCCACCCTTATTGATATTTTCTATCAACGTAGCCATCATGGGCGTTTAAAATATTTTCATTATGTTGCTTGATCCTTGCCCACGAGATTGTAGAGCATCTGGTTTGCAAATTAGCTTTACGAGTTACCATATAGATAAATAACTTTAGACATTTGTATTTTAAAGTGAATTTATTTCGTAAAAGGCTTTGAATGCCTAATGCAAACACAAAACAAAATCTTTTGTCATTTTCTGGCCATTGTGTAAACATTTGTCGCGACATTCAATAGGGATGCAATGAACTGAGCGTTCGACGAGCTACTCGTTGCTCGATTAGATGAATGCTCATTCATGATTGTTTAATTAAGCAAGTAAATAAACTTGAACATGTTTAATACTCGATGCTTAAATAAACAAGCTTGAACAATTATCTGTTCGACTCATTTATGTTCATGAACAATATTTTTTAAAGCTCGTAAACAAGCTCGAGTCTTGTTCGACTCAAAGCTCATGAATAAGCTCTTTAAAAATATGATTAATGTTTGATTATAAAAATAATGAACATACCTTATATAAATATTTTATATTTATTATAATATAATGATATAATAATTAGTAATTAATTAATTTAAAATTAATTGAATGTTATCGTATATATTAATTAGAATAAATTAGAAATATCTATTAAATTGATATTATGTATAATTTAATTACAACTATAAAAATTTTATTATATTATTTAGTTATATTTCACTAGCTTGTTAGATAGCTCGAAAACACTCGTTAGATATGTTTGTGAACAGATTTGTTTGGTGGTTTAAATATTCACTCTAGATATGTTCGTGAACAGGCTTGTTTGGTAGCTTAAAAACACCCGCTAGACATGTTCGTGAATGGGCTCATTTGGTAGTTAAAAAATGTTCACTAGATATATTCGCGGACTTGCTCAATGTAATTATTTGTTAGTAAGCTCAATAAGGCTTGTTTGTTAAGCTAATGAACATCTTGAATTAGAACTCATTTATAATTTGATAAGACTCATTTATTTAAAGCTCGATAATCACAAAGTGAACTGAACATGTTGAAAGAGTAAATGCTCTTTTTTGTCATTGTTAGCATGCTAATGCTTGGGTGAAAGGCCAGGTCGTTTGGCAGGTCAAGCACAAGCCACAACCTAATGATCAAATCAGATCTAGTCGAAGGCATGCAAGCTTGTTAAATTTTAGGCTTGTTTGTTTGGAAGTTTTTCTGCTCTTAAGACATCCTTATAAAAGGCTGCTTTACGTCCTCCCATCTTGCCATCCTCTAAGAAACTTTCATAAAGCAAATCATGAACAATGTTGTGCTGCATTTTTAACCCAAACTGCATACCTGCTTACCACTAGGCATCCTGCTACAATGTAGGCAAAAGCAAAATTAAACGTGTTGTCAATTTTATTTTCTTGGATCATGTGTTGCGCTTAGTTTTAACTGGATAGGCTTGCAGGATGCTTGAAAAAGTTTGCAAGGATCCTCAAATGCTTGCTGATGTGTTTGTTAACTATGACTGTGATCTTGAGGCACCAAACCTCTTTGAACGCATGGTAAATACGAAGAGGGTCTCTTTCTTTATTTAACAAGGATAACTTGATGTCTACCCTAAGCTGATTCACTTGCTGGTTTTCGAAGGTTAATTCTCTATCAAGAATAGCTCAGGGTACTTTGAGCTCTGATCCTAACTCTGCTAATTCATCTCAAACAGCATCTATCAAAGGTTCTTCTCTTCAGGTATTTTATTCCTTTTTCTTTTCATTATTCTAAAATTTATCTGCGGTGCTATAGTCTTATTTCACGGTTCATTGCTTAACAATTTCCTTTCAGTGCTTAGTGAGTGTTCTTAAGTCCTTAGTTGATTGGGAAAAGTTCAGAGAATCTGAAAAACACGGCAAAATTGTCCGATCTCTTGAAGAGGATGTTTCAGTTCATGAACCTTACGATGAACCTACAAATCGAGAAGATGGAGTCAATCAGTTTGAGAAAGCTAAAGTGCATAAATCTTCCTTGGAAGCTGCAATCTCAGAGGTACCTGAATGTAGAACTCTTAAAATATATATTAATTCCTTCTTTCTAGCTTGTTGTCTTTATATATACTCATTTGGCTAGCTTGGCAAGGCAGCACTCACTGTTGCACCATGCATGGGTGCTGTTTTCCTCACCTGCGCTGGTGATATGCCTGCCCTCCTGCTGTAAAAATACTGGGGTTCTGACAGTGTGACTCAGCGTTGCTGGGTGCACACTCTGCTGTAGTAAACCCAACTAGCGATGTTTCAAATGAGATCTTAATGGTTTATTGCGGCATTCTCTTGCTGTGGGTTTAATGTGATATGTGCTTTATTTCTGTTCAGTTTAATCGTAAGCCGGCAAAAGGAATAGAGTCTCTACTTGCGAATAAGCTAGTGGAGAATACTCCTCTGTCAGTGGCACAATTTCTCAAGGATTCTTCTAGTTTGGATAAGGTGATCTTTGTTCATGATTCACAGTTAGTGCTTTACGTGGGAAGGATTTTTCTAAACTCTTTAGTTTGCAGGCTATGATTGGTGAATATTTAGGACAACATGATGATTTTTCTCTTGCCGTGATGAATGCTTATGTTGATTCCATGAACTTTTTGGGATTGAAGTTTGATGCTGCAATTCGTGAATTTCTCAGAGGTTTCAGGCTTCCTGGAGAAGCCCAAAAGATTGATAGGATCATGGAAAAATTTGCTGAGCGGTAACCACGAATAGAATTGTAATCCGTTCTTCATTTTTTTGATATTAAAGATCACACATTTAGCTGGGTGCACGATGATTTTTGCAGCTATTGTTTCAATAATCCAGGCCTTTTCAAGAGTGCAGATACTGCATATGTTCTAGCATATGCAGTTATCATGTTGAATACTGATGCTCACAATCCGATGGTCTGGCCAAAAATGTCCAAGTCTGAGTTTATTCGCATGAACACTTCATCTGATGCAGAAGAGTGTGCCCCAAAGGAACTCCTGGAGGACATCTACGATTCAATTGTCAGGGAAGAGATAAAGATGAAGGGTGACGCAGTTGGTGCAGCGAAGAGTAGCAGGCAAAGACCTGAAGCTGAAGATAGAGGTCGGCTCATAAATATCCTTAACTTGGCCTTTCCTAAGAGGTTGTCCGGTGCTGATTCTAAAGCAGAAAGTGAACAAATAATTAAGCAAACCCAAGCACTTTTCAAACGTCAAGGTGTGAAAAGGGGCATCTTTTATAAAGCAGAACAGGTTGATTTAGTCAGGCCAATGGTTGAAGCTGTAGGTTGGCCATTGCTCGCAACATTTTCTGTTACCATGGAGGAAGGTGATAATCGACCTAGAGTGCTTCTTTGTATGGAAGGGTTCAAAGCTGGTATACACATTACTCGTCTTTTAGGGATGGATACAATGCGCTATGCTTTTTTGACCTCTTTAGTGAGGTAAAGAGCACGTGTCTGTGAAATTTAATCTAAACATGATTAGTGAATTAAAATCCTTGCAACTTCGCAAGTATTACTCAAGTTTTTTTTTTTAGTAACTTTTCATCTCCTTATTTATTTGCAGACTAACATTCTTACATGCTCCAAAGGAAATGCGTAGTAAAAATGTGGAAGCCATTCGAACTTTGCTTGCTTTGTGTGATACAGACACGGATGCCTTACAGGACACATGGAATGCTGTTCTGGAATGTGTGTCAAGGCTTGAATTTATCACATCAACTCCATCTATTTCTTTGACTGTGATGCAGGGTTCCAACCAAATATCCAGAGATGCGTTACTCCAATCACTAAGGGAGTTAGCTGACAAACCAACTGAGCGATTGTTTGAAAACAGTGCAAAGTTGCCCAGTGACTCTGTTGTTGAGTTTTTTGCAGCTCTCTGCGGTGTATCAGCTGAAGAACTAAAACAAACACCTGCACGTGTCTTTAGCTTGCAGAAGCTTGTTGAGATCAGCTATTACAATATGGACCGTATCCGTCTGGTATTCTTTATTTTAGTATTGGCTGTCTATACGCTTTTTTGATATTTTTCTTTCTGTGCTTTTGTCCTATGATGGCTTTATACTTAGAAATAGAATGCAAAACAAATATATACATGAAAAGGTTCGAGTTGCTTTTGTCCTTCTGATGACCCTGTTTGGAGAGTAGATGCATTAGATCCGGTTTATGTTACGAAAGTTAGAGGTAAATCTAAAGACATTTGATTAGAAAATATTAAAAGTGATCTTTTTTATTAGACTTAAATAAGATTTTGACTCATTGCAGAAAAAAGATTCATATAGCCGATCCTACGTAGTGGCATAAAGGCTTATTTGTTGTTGTTGTTGTTGTTGTTATTGTTGTCATTGTTTTCCTTTGATGGGATATGTTTATTAGCCTATTACATTACTATTAATGCTATGCTTAGATAGGTTTTCCAACCAAGATATAATTTTCTCGAACTGGTTATGCATGAATTTTATATAGATAATGTTCCCAATCAACTAATTATTATTAAAGTGGTGGATATGAAGAATGTGGACAAGGGATCATTTTGCGTGCAAAAAGGTGTGTGGTGGAAAAAATCCATAGGAAATCAATAGAAGGGTGGTGAAGTTTGAACAAGGAAATTTAACTTTTTGAAAGCAACCTAATTGTCTTTCAAAGCTTTCTGAAACACTCAGAGCAGTTTGGAGAGTACCACACCAACTCCGAGAAGGCTTCTTTGTTGTCTAAATTCTCAAAGGGAAGGAAAATAGATTGCATTTAAGAAAATTAGTTCTAAAAGGTATGCATTAAGGTTATTTATAGGGATAATTTGACATGGTCTATTACTAAATAGCTCTTACACACTGGATAATTACAAATGATTCTTTCAAGGAAGAAATGACCTAAATGCTCTAAAGGAATAACAATGAGATTGCATGAATATGGAAGAAACTAAGCATTATTAAAATTTATTGATGCATTATCTAATATGATGTGTAGGTGGGAATGTGGGATATCGACAACTACAATGAATTGTTTGATGAGCTGCAACTCGCTTTGGGGTTAAAAAACTTTGTTTGGATGGTTTATGTCTTTGTATTCTCCAGAAGATTTGGTAATAGAGGAGCTTGTTCTTCCTATGCCATCCAAGTATCATTTGTTGGTGTACGTCTGAACCAACAAATAGTACATTTGGGAATGCTTGCAATGCTAATATACTAGTTCCATCGGCTACTATTTAATCAATCACATGTGCATACAACTTATTGGATATGCGCAAACATTGTTTTGGAAGCAACCAGACCAGTTAAATTCTTACAAGTAATTATTGGTGATTCCATTGTCGTTCATATGAAAAAAAGGTCTACATTAAAAGTTGGATTAACATGAAATTCAGATGGGAAATTAGGCATACATGCATTAAGGCTTGAGCCTACAACGTTTTTTAGTATTTCCTTGGAAGCATGTAGGCTGAATACACACCAAATCAGAAGCATCTTCAATAGATTTCGTAGAATGCCTCTGCTAAAACCTTATAATTTTCATTACGGTTTATAATTTGCTCCTTAATATTAGCATGCAATTTATGAGGATGTTTATCACAATGATGCAATGTAATTAACATATTCATGTTTGAGTTCATTTATAGGATCTATGCACCTTTTGGGGTTATATCCATCCATACATTCAAATGGAGTTTTGCTTGTGATCTTATTAGAATTATTCAAAGGAAATTAAGCTAATAGGCAGGATTAGATGCCATTTAATATGCTATTCTGAACTAGATATCTTAGAAATTTGTGTGAAATATTTATGTTAATTTAAGTGTAGTACCAAATAATTTTTACAATTTTTTTCAAGACATTGCTAATAAAGATAACATTTATATCTGGTGGAATTGATGCTGACAAACCATTACGTCTAACAAATTTCTTGACAAACAATTTACCAACCTGTGGTGCATCATTTGTTTTAAAAAAGGCAAGAAATGGGTCTTATACTATGATGCACCGACACTTCTCCTCCAGGAGGCGTGCAGTGTCCGACACGACACACGTCCGACACGTGTCCGATTAAAAAAATATTAAATACAAATTAGTTAACAAGGTTTGACAAATAAATTTAAAAAGTGTCCATAAATATCTCGATGATGGACGTGTTGAAAGAAAATCTCAACTGGAGGGAACCCCAAACTTTTAAAATACCTCCCATGCTCATAAAATATAAACATTTAAAGTGATAATAAAGTCACCTAGATGATGACCATGTTGAATGTAAATTTCAACTGGAGTTGTTAATCTTTAAATTCTACCAAAAACTTCAAAACTTCACATCCACTAATATTTAAAAATTGAAATTAATCATCTAACATTTACAGTAAAATACCCATCTACACTCTGCAACAATTTTTTGAGGTGGACAAGTTTGAAAATCACTTTAGCTCACAAAGAGCGAATGTCAAGTCAAGAATATCTCTAGGATTCATTCTCAAATCATCTCTTGCTAGTAAGGATGTGGCACATGTCCTCCAACCGATGGTTCCGTAACCAAATAGCAGCACATGTAAACGATTATGACTGGGACCCTCTGCCGAGTGTTTTTACCGCTAAATGATACCACTAAACTACAGTTATGGCCAGAGTTCGTATGTTTCCCAACAACGTTAAATTCTTGAGTATTGAATTAGTAGGGTGTAATCGATAGGGCATAATGCTCTTTGTTAGCTAAGATGAACTCAAATTTATTCCTTTAGACAAACATTCACCCTAAGTCTTCAAGGTACCATTGAATGAAGCAATTCATGACTACTAACATGGATCCTTCGGTCAGGTTGGGCCGACTACCTCCTCTGACTAAGTAGACTAGGGACCATGATGAATTAGGACGACGGAACCATGGGTTCTTGATCGGGTCTATCATCATTCCCCCCACCATCTGCTTTAAGTGCAAGGTGGTGAATTTCTAATTTTAAATATTAAATTTTCAAATGCTAAATCGTGCTGCTATTATACGTCAGATACTACTTATCTGTTTGACGACTAGCCTTAATTGAAAGTTCTATCTCATTATCGGGAGGGGTAATTAACTATAGAGACTTGCTCATATAGGAAAACTGAACTCAAATCATAAAGTCCTCGCAAAATGAGGGCGAAATCTTTGGGTGAAGTCTTATCTAAAACCCAATCCACCTTTTGAAAATTTGCCTAAGAACTTAAATGTTAAAACTCTTCTCGACGACCTAAAAAATAAAAAGGGGACGCGGAGAGGTCAGGGTGCGAATTTTCGGAGCCCACACCGCTCACACACATAGCAGTTCATCCTTTTGAAGATTTCAATTTCTTCTTTTGATGAAGTTCATGGGCAAGAAGTAAATTTTCATCAAAAAATCTCCTCGGGATAAAAACTGACATCTAACCATTGAGAGCGTCTTCAAAAGAACTATACGAACTTGGACTGGCCCTCTTTGAATGACCTATAATGAAAAAGAGGTTTGAGTGAATCTTGAGGCTCATAAGAGTATTCCCTACGACGGGTAAATCACTTCACTGTTTAGTCTCTTCGAATTAGTTGGAAAATGAGACAATTGGATATACTCACCTTCTTGGATCTTGGGAATCTTAAGCACATATTCTTCTCCTTCTCATACAATAATCCAGTTGATGCTTTCACCTGTAAATCTCTGGCGCAATTTGCTTCTTCGCCATGGAGGGCTTGGGGTAGAGTGAATTGCCCGTCACACACGTTTGGCCTTATCAATGTCTTCCTCCATCTAGCTCCTGTATAGGAGCTTCTTGTTCATGACAAGTTGTTGGTTTTGTCGAGCACTTATATGGTGAACCTCAGTTGCAAATTCCTCATTGTTGTTGAGGGTTTGGGAGTCTTAGGTTTTGTTTGGGATGACTTTCTTACTGCTTCTTAAAATAGCTTTTTAGTACAAGTATTAAAATTTTTTATCTAATAAGTTTTTTTAAGAAGCCGTAAAAAAGCTCGTCCCAAACGAAGCCTTGGTAGGACTGGATGTAGAGGCGAACAAGAGTTATAGAGATTGCAAGAGTGTGAGAGGTTGGGAAAAGACCGTGATGCAGTAGAGACGTGGTAGGCTTTTGGTGCGCATGATGCTTGAGATGAGAATAACGAGAGGTAGGGTGGACTGGAGAGTGTTTCGGTTGGTGCGAGATAGTGAGAATGAGGAAGGGAGCTAACAGAGTTGAGAGATCGGACTAGGGGGTCGGCAAATGGGTTTAGTTTCAAATTTCTCTTTTTTATTTTGGCCTGGATGAGACTCTAATGAGAAAGGCGTTGAATACTTAGCCAAATTGAAATTGCTCTCGGTTGATCCAACTTTGACCCAATCCAAGAGTATTGAGCCTGCAAGGCTGCGGCAATTAAAGAGTTCAAGCCATTTATGGCTTGCATTATTTATAGATTGGTTATATTTTTTTATTTTTGAAGTTCATCAATTCATTTCATGTTTGAGATGGGTTTTCTTTGGCTTCGAAAGTGTATTTGGTTCGGTTCAAATTGTCTTGACAACGTTGTGGGCATGCATAATCCAATGTCAGGGACGTCAATATATTTGTAAATTGTAATCTTCTATTAGCATTTGATATGATATGGTTTATTAAATGCTAGATTTGTATTTGGAGATTTGAAAAACCAGACGTGCCATGACTTATGTTTTATTTATTTTTTTTATTTCGTTTTTCATTCTTGTGTAGAATCCTTTACAACTGCACCATCTAATCTAATGGGATGCTTGAACTAATGGATGATACTTCTGAAGTTTTTTAACCTTTCAAATTTGATCTTCCACTACATTAAAATGATTTTTATCTTCATCCTAGCATTTTTTATGTAATCTATAACATGTATTAGAATATTTTTTTTGTTGTGATGTCTACAATAGTCTCCGACTATTTATATGTTACTAATTTAGTTCTAGAGTATTACATTTCTACAATTTAGCCCCTTGACTATACAAAATTGATTCAAAATTATCTTTGAGGGACTAATT